TTATTCTTGAACTTCACTGAAGTACAGTACAGTACAGGAACAGTGTACACATAATTAATGTCATCTATGCTAAGCATTTTCCTCTAATAAACATAAAAATGTTCTTTTCTTAGAGGAACTGTTCAGCACTTTGTTAGAAAACCACCTAGAAGGGGACCTTTACTCATTTCTAAGTACATTTTTCTATGTGGGAGTCTGCTAGAGTAGCTTTGCAAGATTCACAGTTCAAAATAATCCTTATTTATGTTATACTGGGCCTCTGTGGAGCCTCTCCGTCACTCTGACTGAAATAAGCCATTTTAGTGCACTTCCCCGTTCTTTAAGCCAGATGTTCCGAAACTTTTTCTGGCACGCCCCATTTCAGAAGGCAAAAAATGTTCACACCCCACACTCAATCATTAACAGTGCAAAGAAGGATTCAAGCTGACTTTTACTTAAAGGTCAGGAGATTAACATAAGCAAACCCTTTATTTTCTCTAAAAATAACCCTTATTTTAACCCATATTTTTCACCTGGTTGTTTGAGTCCCACCTGCAGTGATTCAACACCCCACCATTTGAGAACCACTGCTTTAAGCCAGCTTTCTTCTGATTGGCTTCTGCTTGCAAACAAAAATTCTGAACAGAAGGTAAGTTTTTAGCTGCTTTTTAAAAGATACCCCAATGTTCACAGATTTCAGGCTCAGATGGAGAGATTGCTGGAGAGGGACCTGCTGGGGATGTATGGGTAAAAACTTCCACTGATGTACGCCAGTCCTTGTCCTTGCCAACTTAAGTGATTAAAAACAAGAGCAACCCAGAGATTTAACGCGAGCAACCAAAGTGAAAGCAGAGTCAGAAGTTACACAAACATTCCTGATAGAAAATTTGGCAAAAGTGGCAAGGCGAGCCGAGTTTCCATAACCGTAGGCACAAATCTCTTAGGCTACGTTCACACTGCAGGTCTTAATGCTCAATTCCGATTTCTTTTATCAAATCCGATTTTTTTGTCTGCTTGTTCACACTACAAATAAAATGTGACAGCAAACGCGCTCTAGTGTGAACGCTCAAAGCGGCCCGCATGCGCAAAAGAAGACATCACACACAGCACGCTCTGTTTAGACCCAGACCAACCAGTATTGTTTGACTGATGGCCCTTAATATAAAGACTTGTTTCAGACTTTCCATTTCCCAATTTTGCTTTAAGTTATAAAGTTATTTTGTTACTTACATATGGCCTAATAATTATCTCTACTGCTGTTTTAGAGAGGAGCGGTGCTTCAAAGGATAGTTGCAGATTTCTGTCAGAATCTGCAGATTATACAGTACAAATAAAATGTTCACATTTCTCCAACGTTGTCTTCCCAGCAGTTTCACTGACATCTACACTGGATGGCCAGGGCTGATAATTGGCGTCTGTCTTGTGTCAGTGACGTAAAAGATGGATTTAATGCGACATGACCGTTCAAACAGCAGTCGCTTTCTAAAACATCAGATATGTATCAGAATCAGAATCAGAATACTTTATTGATCCCTGGGGGAAATTATTTTTTGTTACAGTGCTCCATTTTAAACCAACATTAAGACAAGACAGACAATACACTAACTAAGAATAGTACAATATATACATATATATACATACATACATACATAAGTCACTCATAAATAAATAGTTGGAAAAGAAACATGTGTAGTTGTAGCAGTAACCAGTGTGTTAAGTGGATGCGTTGTACAGGGAGATGGCCACAGGCAGGATCAGGATTCAGACCCAGATCGGATTTGAAAATATCGGATTTGTGCCGTTCACACTGTCATACCATGATCGGATATGGGTCGCATAGGGTCAAAAAGTCGGATTTGATGCGCTTTCGCCTGCAGTGTGAACGTAGCCTTAAAGGCACAAACAGGAACTTCTGTTTTTTCTTCATTAAGTTGGCAAAAATTGTCAGCTAAACAACTTTTAATAGAATCTATTCGCATAAGTTTGATGTGCAACAGAAATATCTTGGAGCTTAAAATAGATATATAACTGAATGTCATCTGCATAGCCATGCTAAGAAATGTCCTTCTGAGTGCTCAAAATGTGTTAAAGAACGAACAGATATAAGAGAAACAGTAAGGGCCCTAAAAGAGAACGCCGATAGAGACCGACCAGTATCTCAGCCAATTGACAAATAACATGATTGTCATCAGTGTCAATGGCAGAGGTCAGAACAACATCAGCAAAACAGAACATTTCCCTGAACCACTTCGGATCGAGAGGTTGTTTGAGACTCTAAGAAGAGCTGTTTTGATGAGGTCTATGAAAGCCAGATTGAAATCTACCAAGATGCTTTTTTTGTCCAAACCACTTAGCTATGACATTCTCCAAAATGTTAGCAATAAAAGGTAATTTTAAGATTAGCCTGTAACTACTGAGAAGAGAGGCGACAAGCTGTTTTTCTGTTTTTAATGGGTGGATGATAGCGTTCTGGTCTTGATTAATGAAAGCAAACTGATAAGACTGAAAGACAGTTTTGAACAGAGATCTTTGTAAAATAACAGGTTGAGCTGGGGTAGGAACAGGCAGCGGAGATGCTGAAGAAAAAGTATTATTTCTCACACTACTCATTTTTTCTACAAAGAAAGTAAGAACATATTCACAATGTTCACTGGGAAAAATTGGGACAATGGGTTAAACACAAGTAAAAATGTCACTTAATTGTGTAACACCCACCTCTGCTCTTTGAAACCAGGTTTTAAGACAGCACAAAAGTTTTGGTAGCGGACCCTTTTTGGATTCCATTGGTTGACTTGTGATGTTTGAGTGGGCTTCGCTTGCTTGCAGGTCTGCAGGCTGTGTAGGGGGAAGCAAAACGGGGAACACACTAGCCGAAATGCAATTTTGAACCTGTCATCTGCTGCCTGACAACAGTTTCTCTTTTTAAAAATGCATCTGCTTTCATGACCAGTGATTGGCACATCGAACAGGAACTCTTGGCCTGCTATCCGCTGGGTATACCGGAGGCCCCGAAACATCAGCTGTCCGCTAATCCAGTTTAAATCATTTGAATACTGTTCACTCTGAGACCCACACGAAATATCCCTCTGTGAATGTACATATAAAAAGTATTACAGTCACACATAAAATTGGCAGCTACTTTTAATGCATACCATGGAAATGTTTCATGGTTATGCTGGTACTACAGTGACCTCCTGTTGGCACCAATGATTGCTTTTTATTAGATGGAGCCACAAATGTTTCCCAGTGACTGAGTTACACATTATTACTGTCTCTACTAGCTAAGACATTCCTTACGTTTTGAGTGGTGGAAGTAAATCACTAGCTCGATTTATGAATAGCTTCTATGACTCAGTTCGCAGTGACTGAGTGATGTGAAAGATCCACTTATGAATTCCAGCATCGATAAATAAACTCTTGAAGAAATACATTTCAGTTGCCACTTTTTGAAGAGATCTGGAAACGGCATGCTGCAGTGGTAAATGAAACAAACAAACAAACAAAAAGCCAAGGCTTTGCTGCACACAGCAGTCAGATCATGCTGTAGGAAGACAGAAAGGTCAAAATAAACTCTGCACATGCCTCCCAGGTTTTAGCGATAAGAGAAATAAGAGAAGGAGGTGTGTCTTTTGTACACATAGCCATATGAGATCTTTAGACTTGCTGGATTATAACTGTAAACACAAATGTGGCACACAAATGCACCTGGCCATATTATTCCCTTCTGTTAGTCTTCTATAGGGTATGCGTAACTGCTTGCAGGTACTGAGCCATGACTTCAATCAGCAGCCATGCTTCATCGTCACCTGTTTATTTTTGTCATTCTGTTTGAATATGCAAGTGCAGATACAGTGCCGATGTTTGTGTAGTATGCAGAGGAATGCAGTCCTCGTAGCTGAGAGGTGCTTTGCTGCCTGAGCTGAGTTCAAGTTCAGCCTCCTTTCCTTTTCTCTTGTCTTCTCTCTGTCTTACCCACCACAGTCCGGGGGCACATCAGGTTCCAGTTGTTTTCTGGCTATTCGGGGTCAGCGATGCACGTTGGCAGACCTCATTGGCAACTTTCTCGTTGCAGTGCAAAAATCTGTTGGAGACTGAACTCGGCTCAGCTTTTGTGTGCCCCGGTGTTGAGTAACAATGAGGTCCGCAGGGCGATTGGCAGATGTCTGTTTGGTGCTGCAGATACAGTCATGCCATTGTGTGGAGTCAGCAAGTAAAATGTGTGTGTTTGTGTGCATATGTGGATAAGGGGTGAAGAAAAGCGGCTGTTTGTTTTGGCAGGAAGATCATTTGCCAAAGAAGTGGCTCCTCAGCCAATTCTCACCAAACAAACCCGCAGCAGTGAGTGTTTTATCAGTCCAAGCACTTCAGCGGGCGAAATGAGAAGGTGGCCATTTTACTCCTCGCACTCTTTGCTGCTCTTCACAGCTAAGAGGGTTAATGGTGAGCTGCCGCTCGGCCACTTTTAGCGCGGTGTTCCATTAAATTCAAAAGCTTGCGATCCCTAAAACTTCCCTGTAACATTTGTTGTTAACAAGAGAATGAAATTAACAGTTCCAGCTAATCAGCAGCATGACAAAGCTTTATGGTTTCTCTGATCTTTTCTTCTACTTGCTATGACTCACTTGAAGCCCCATTGTCTGCTCCGAGCCAAGATCCTCCAGTCCAGAGGGCGTCGGTACCAAGCATGGCTCTGAGGATATTACAAAAAGGGAAAACCCATCTTCCCCCAAAACCTTCTTCCATTACAGAAAAGAGGTTTTCCGCTTCAATCGAAACTGTCAGTGGAAGTTTTTCAAGCCACTTGGAAAACATCAATTGCTGCTTTTTCAGTCTTTATGTTGGCAAAATCATCAGTCACAGGAGCAGCATGATCCTTTCGTAGTAGTTTTTCAGAAGAAAAGGCAGGTTGTGCATGTGTTTTTATGTCCTTTATGCTCTCTTTTGTTGTGTGCATGTATTGTTGAGCTGCACAGCTGACAGGTCTGTGAAATATCAGCACCTGCATTGTTTTTTCTCACAGTAATCTTTGTAACTGATGTGGACATGAATATGCCGCCTGTGTGTGGAGCACATCTTTTTAGTTTTAAACGACGAGCTGTTTCATGTTGGCGCAGGAGTAATAGGAGCCGCGGCGTGACAGCCAGGCCTGAGGCGACCCAGAAATGTGCCTTCTTGGAACTTCCTTCTCATTCCTTGGGCATAAGAACAGCGGTGCAGCGCAGGCTAGACTCCAAAACCAACAGTTTTGGAAATATCTGTTACATTTGCATCCCAAATATTCAGAAGAGCTTGCATGATGTTCTTATTTGGGTTGACAGGGTTTCATTTTTCATTCTTCGTGCCTCTTGTGTTTTCTTGTCATACTTGGCTGTTTTTGTGTTGACTTATCTCATTGACACACAGGATGGGTAATTTTGGGCAGCGTAGATGTCTGACTGCAAACAACATGTACAACTTAGAGTCCGCGCAGGAATGGCGTAAACATGGTTTCCGATTGAGGCAAATTCCTGTGGTCATGTCGCCACTTTTAATGTTGACTTTTTTCTCCAATACACCTTCTTCTTCTTCTTCTTTCATCGCTATGTGGAAAAAACACTTAAAGAGAACCTATTATGCTCATTCCCAACACTTATTTTTATTCTTGGACTCTACTAGAGTAGCCCTGCATGATTCAGAGTTCAAAATAATCCCTTGTTTTAATACTGTTCAGGCTCTCAGTTCAACTAGTGGAATAAGCTATTTTAACTCCCTTTACGTTAACTTTCTGCTGATTGGTAGCCCCTCACAAGCAAAGGATTTGGACGGTGGTGGGGCTTCGGTGTTATTCATATGACCAGGACATCCACATTTATTCACATTATAAAGAGCCATGACTAGAAAATAACCTGCCTGAAACTGAGTGTTTGGAGCAGTCTGAAGCCCGAGCTCGTGGCTCATTGGCTCATCACTCTAACATATTATAATATTAAAGAAAAGAAGAGTGTCACACACCTCTTTAATTGCTCTCTTTTAAATTTAATGTTGTCTGCAAATGTCTTTGACAGAAAAGTCTAATATGTTTGAGTAAATTAAATCTTAAACAGTTAAACCACACATTTCCTTTTACTCTGAATCGCATCTCCTTGTGAGGGACCAAAAATCTGTGGGCATCCTCTTTGTGGGATAATGCCTAATACAAAAATGTGAAAGAAGCCATGCCTTCTCTGTTATAAGTTAATAAAAATTCCACCTACAAGCACCTCATATAAGTGATAAAAGACTAGTTTGTTAGTTTCAAAGGGCTAATGTGTGATTTCTTGGCAACCTCAAGTCTTCTTGTTATCGTCCAGTTTCTAACAAGGTATGAGTCTGACACAAAATACCTTTGTTTACCTAATCCTTTCTGTACAGCTGTAATTGATGGAGATAAAACGAGCTAATTACTGAGCTGACAGGCCGAGTCATATTAGCCACGTTCGCGTTTCCAATCTTTATGCAAAGAGACTTTAACCATTAGGGTGTGTGCCAGCAGGATCTGAAAGCCACTCAAATCTAGAGCAAACACTGCAAACAAAAGTGTCGAGGCGATCAAAAGCGGAGCAGGCATTTCTTGTGTGCCCCTCTTTAAAAGAAAATAAATAAATAAATAGAGAGAAGGAACCTTCTTGACCTGCTTTCAGCCAATCAGCCCTTGACAACAGGCTCAACCTGAGCAAACAGTGAGGAAAGTAATCAGCTTTCACATAACCCTGATAGTAACTATCTCCTCAGAGTTATACATCAGCTGGTATTGATTAATGTGATGATGTTGTTGCCGTCCAGCACCGTGGCGTAGAGATGACTGCACTGGTGTTTTCCAGCTTTTAAACTTTGCTTGTAACTTATGTGCATAAGTGCTTAATTAGCAGTTTTCCTCCTCAGTTAATAATTATATCTATAACATGTAAGAAAACTGCAAGGAAAATCATCACATTCTGGCATTTTAGAAAATGTGGCAGTATTTTCACATTTTTGCTTTCGAAATGACTGCAGAGATAATTGCATTAACACAGACAAGTCTGATTAATTTTCCGTCAATCTACTAACCGATCAATCACCTAATCATTTCATCCCTAAACTGAATTAAAACAAGTTGCGTCACAGCTCCTGGCTCCAGCTGCACGCTCACCCTACAGACACAGGAATGGTATCAATCTTCTCATCTAACTCTTGGCCAGAAAGAAAGTGCGCGTGCTTCTCAAAAATGCCGAGCTATTTCTTTGAAAGCTCAGGGTGCTCAAAACAAACCAGTTCATTCAAACACGCGTGCGCCAACGCATATAATGAATATAAATGGAGGACTTGAGAGATACAGTATATGCTCATCGCCAACAATTCTCAGTTTCCTTTTCCCACCACCTACATTTGGAAAGGTGTGTACGCCTGTATGGCTCCATTAAAAGGTATCGGTTTTAATCATACTTAAAAGTGATTACGTGGAGCTACAGCACAGTGAGCCTGTTCTTATTTGGAAATATTGACACAACAATGAATCACAGACTCATATCCTCTCAGTTTTCTCACGTCTGCTGACATTTCAAACTGTGCGAATAATTGCCAAATTGTCTCGGGCTGTATTAAGCCAGGGGAGGATACAAATGCCTTTAAGCAACATCAGCTGAGGAGATGTAGAGGCAACGCTGCTTATCTTACCAACAAAGCCTTAGAAACAGTTACACTTGTTTCATAAATCAACTTGTTAAAAAGCACATGCACATAAGAGAATAAGCACTCCCATTTTCCTAAAAGCTGTACGGGAGGATGGTGGTGGAAGGGGGTGGGTCAGGAGGTGATGGAGTTTGTAAGATAAACTTGGCTAAACTTTGTCAGTGTACGAAATTCCCCTCATCAGACCCCAGCCTGCCATCCTCCCCTCTCTACCCATCCGTATCCAACAGTGTGCAAAGCTAACAAAGCCAGTATTTAAAAAGCTATTAAAGAACTACACAACTTCTTTCATCATTTAAAATGTCAAAAGCTTGAATAAGCATCCCGTTTATACAATGAGCAATCCCTCCAGGAATAATTCTCAGAATTTCAGCCACTCTTCACATCATTTGTGCGAGTTTGCAGTTTTGCCTGCAGGGTGCTTGTAGATTTTATCAGCTACTGCATCTCAAATACAAATAATCCAATTCAGAATCACCGCTATAAGCTGAGCTCAAACTAAAATGGAAGGTAAGTTCATGCCTAAGGGTCTTGCGGTCTGTTGGATTTTGGAAATCTAAGTCATGCGTCAACTCCAGCAAACACTACCATTTAAATGTTTAGATTATATGTAACTTTTAATTTAAACGGGGACCTATTTAGGAGACTTCCTCGCTTTCTATCAGATATATGCACTCACGAGACACTTCATTAGTTATTCTTTGCTAGTAGTTGGTTGGAACCCCTTTTGCCTTCAGAACTGCTTTCATTCGCTACAAATTCAAAAAGCTGCTGGAAACATTCCTCAGAGATTTTAGTTCATATTGACTTGATAGAATCACACACTTGCTGCAGATTTGTTGACTGTACATCCGAGAGGTGCACTGTTGGATAGAGATCTGGTGATTGTGGAGGCAATTTGAGGATAGGGAACTCATTTAAAGAAATAGCCTGAGATGATTTGAGCTTTGTGATGTGGTGTGTTATCCTCCTGGAAGCAGCCAGAAGAAGACGGGTACACTATGGTCAGCAACAGTACTCAGACTGTGGTGTTTAAAAAATGCTCAGCTGGTACTTGAGGGGCCCAAAATATGAAAATGTCTGCCACACTGATACACCACCACCACGAGGCTGAACTGTTGATACGAGGCAGGATGAATCCATGCTTTCATGTTGTTTGCACCAAAATACTGACCTCACCTTTCAAATAAAGACACATCAGACCAGGCAACATTTTTCCAATTTTCCATTGTCCAATTGTGGTGAGCCTGTGCAAACTCTAACCCAAGTTTTCTGTTCTAAGCTGACAGCTAAGCAGTGAAAAAGGTATCATGACTCCTACTTGACCAAGCATAATGTTATTGGCTTGTATTTTTCTAAGGTGGTATAATGAAACATATTACACCGTATTTTGCTAGCACACTGACCGAGATTCAGTGATCAGGGACAATGACTTTATTGCTTTCCATCGCCACAACTGACAGAACCAATATCATCTTTCTGTTGGCTCACTTGTGTGTGTGTGCGCGCTCCAAAATGTTGTGTGTTACATTCATAAAACTACAAGAGAGAATGCAAAAAAACCCAAACAAAAACTGGGCATACTGCAGTCTTTTTGACAGGATGCTGTCTGACGTCCAAAATATTGTGACGTCTGCCTGGGTTTCTATTATTCAGCTGACATAATGTTGTCTGATTGTGTCAGAAACACCAGCTGTAATATTTTAATAGTATTTATACTCTTCTCCCTGCTGTAGTTTTTGTTAAATCACTGTAAAATAACAAGAACTAAAAGGTCAGACTTTGCACAACTTTCAAGTGATCTTGACAGGATCCTTGTGGGACTAAATACGGCATGTGGGAAAATCACAGTCTTGATCATTTTCTTAAAATCTGGTAAAGCTTAAATCTTCATTGTGTTTTCAGTTTCCTTCTGAGGTTCTCTCGTCAGTCTTGTCATATAGTTAGATTAGTAATGAAGCTTTGGGCATTCTTTGTTGGCAAAATAGCAGCTCTTAAAGAGCAGGCCACATTTCCAGTGTTGATACTGTTTCACAGAGTTATGATCTCAGATCACACACATGAGAACGTATATTAGTCTTTTGCTCATGGACATTTTCATACTAAGCCACACACAGACACAGTGTCTTCAGAAATGCTGATATAGTTAATTTTGACAGGTAATGCACAATGATCCCTGAAAAATCCTAACTAAAACAGTCATTCATTAAGGTTTTGGAATTGTGACTCGGTCGTATGGCAGTTTTTCCACCCAGTCTCATGCTGGAGGGAATTAGGTAGGTAAACATTAAAATTTGGAAGTTGGCTCTAAAACTAGAAGCCAAGAATTGTTTACTCTATTACATTAGGAGGACTCATTTGGGAAGACTTTGCTAGGGAAACGCAACTCCCCTGCAGATATTATACCTTTAGTGTCATTTTGACAAACATTTCAGTCGTAGTTTGGTGAAAAGCGGTGGGACCTGCATTAAAAACCTCTACCTGGCCGTCACCAAATTTTGTTCTTTTCTAACAGCTGCCACGGCATTGAATTCGGGCTAAGACAGACATGTTGTGTGTTAGGCATCAAGATAATTAACTGGTCACAGTCAGGTTTTCCTGGAAATTGACTGTATTAGTGAGTCTATTCTCTTATTCTCGCCTTTTCCCTTTAATTTTTTCCCCCCGCTTGGCAACTGTCACACAGAAAGCTTTGAAGTGGGTGTAAATAAGAAGACATGCATGCTTAATGAGCACGAGTAAAAATGGCTTAATACTTGTTTTCGCGATGTAGCTCTGCTTACCGAACTGAACGTCGAGGCAGCGTGACTGCTTAATTAAGCTGCCTGTTAACACAAAGAGGCCAACAGTGACATTTGCTGTGGTGACGGTCACATCATATCTGATTAACTTCAAGTTGTCGTTTGAAAGAGTCCCAAACATCTGCAACTAAACGCTTATTTTCACCTCCCGATCTCACTTGTAAAACTAAATATCCTACTGTGACTTGCCGAGCAGATGTAATGAGCCGAGATCAAATACTGAAAGTCATTCACAGACGCTGATATGTGAAAGGGCCAGAGAGTGAAAAGGAGAAAGGAAAAAAACAAGAAGTGAGGAATGGTCTTCTGCTTTCAGATTTACAGCCGCGGGGTCACCAGTAGAGTCGGAGCTGGAGCAGAGTGGTGCAGAACTCGCCTCCTCCTCCTTCCCTGCCTCCCTCCCTCCTGGCCTCCTTAGCCTCCTATGCTCACACCCAATTTTTTGGCTCTTTGTTACTGTATATAGGTCACACTGTGATCGTGTGTATATACAGGTGAATTTATTCTCCTTCCCAGCAAGCATATGGAAAGAGGTACTCAAAACATTTCCTAGAAGTAACTGAACAGAAGAACAATGCTGCATTTGAAGCAAAGGTCATGCCTTCGTGTGTTTTAGAGGAGAACTCATTCTGAACAGATCCTCACTGTAAAAAATCAAAATAATGCATTCATTGTGTCATGTATAGATTTTTATTTGAGTGTTTACGTTAAAGTAAAACGTGTTTTATGAGCTACTTTTATGGTTTTTTTATGTAAAACTCTTTACTTTAACTTCTTGCCACACACCTACAGCACTAGGAACATTTCTAGAATTCTAACGACATCTGTGTGCATGTATGCATGCGAGTGTCAACTCGGCTAAGCTCAGCTATGTTGTCATCATTTAAAGAATTTATACAGTACATTTAAGGAATCATCCCAAGCAGTGCATGTCTTTTATTTGCAGAGAAGGAGCGACGGTTATAAAGCAATATTACATTTTTTCCATGTCTTTGTTCTTGGCACAACAAACAGCAACGCTGCAGTGAGTCAATTTTATCATCGCAAATATGTGATAAGAATAATATGAGGAATAGCGCTTATTTTTTTAAATAGATTAAACAGGACAGTTTTCCATCGCTTCTCACAGCCTCTGTAACAAAATGTAATGCTTGAGCGTGCGTGTGAATAAAAGTGCGTTTGCCCCCACTAGCTTACCTGAGCTCCCCGTGAAAAGCGAACACAATCTCAGCCTGAGCAGAAAGGCAGGATGTTTTTGATGAAGCAGTGGGCTTAATTTAGGCCCAGGCATTCTCAGTATCTGTCACCTAACTCCCAGTGATCTCAACACACAGTGTAGTTGTGCGCATGTGTGTGTGTGTCGGTTTATGTTTATCCACAGAGGCAGGCTATAAATTCAAGAAATGTACACCGACATTCGGCCCCCCTATAAACTGTAATACCTCCCAAATATAAAGACAACGTCATACCCATTCCCCGTTTTATTTTGCTAGTAATAATGGAGCAAATAAAAACCGCAGCTTTACAACAGACACTACTATGATAGTGTCTCTCTGATAGGATTTTATTATGAATTATTAATACTGGCTATTAAAAAATAATCCCATTAACTCTGCCAAATGCCCCAAAATCTTGATTTCTTCTTCTAAAGAAGCTGGCTTGGTTATAGCTCCTGCTTGGCCATTAAGTAACCAAACAGGCGTAGGCATTGCCAGCAAACCAGCAAAAGCAAAAAGCGAGTGCCAGCAACCTCTGCCAAAGACTTCAGCTTGCACCCAGTGTTCTTCTCTTACTGGTACACAGAGAAATGATCTGCCTACTTCTTCGAATTGTACATTTTTCTATCCCTGTATGGATTTTTTTAAAAATTAAAAAATATTTTAAGAATGAAAACCTTTTGTTGCAAGCAGAAAGATTTAAGAGAAATTATGTAGATTCTTGTTTTTTTGAGCATGTACGTTTGCTGATATGGGCACGTGGATTTGCTCCTTCTTGGCCATTAAGTAACCAAGCAGGCGTAGGCATTGTCAGCAAACCAGCAAAACTAAAAGCCGAGCTCCTACAAACTGTCAGTGACTTTGTTTTGCACAGAGTGTTCTTCTCTTTGCTGGTACATAAATAAATTTTCTACCCTTTGAGTTTAAGACATTTTCCAGTCTGCATGGAAAATGTTCTTATTCATAATACTGACAAGCCTCTGTTTTTAAGCAGCTGCATAACGTAATTATATGGATCTCCATTTTCTAGCTCTCTCTCCATCGTTGCTGGATGAGCATGTACATTTTTGAAAATCACAAAAGAGGACCTTGCGACGTCTGACCTCGAGCTTGGCGTCACTTTAATGCGGCATTAAACGAACGTGCTCCATCTCGTCAAACGACTGCACGGAGAGCTAGGAGGAGATCTCTGTGGTCGTCATGCACCCATAACGAATGGAAAGACAAGAAGACCACACAGCAGCATGGTCAGATCAGGTTGTCAGAGACCATATATAAAATCTGGGTCAGGGTCCAGGCCGTAACCTCGCTCTCACTATGGCTCCGCTCTCGCTTCTCTGTACCCGATTCCACCTTCGTCCCACGACTCTATCTTTGTGTTTTCTCCCTCTTTTAGTTGAATCGCTTCACCCACTTTCCACATCCACGTCTTTATGCATTTCATTCCCTGTCTCAACCTACTCGGCCCGAGCAATCCAGGCAGGCAGGCTGTTTGTGCTGAGCTACATGGCATCTTTAGATTATATTAAATTTATTGTGAATTCATGGCAATGAACGATGCATTTAAATACAATAATGGCAAAAATCTAAATTTGTGAATTGTTGAGATAATAGTGAAACTATATTATATTATATTATATTATATATGTATAATGCTGCATTTTTTTCTAGAAATACCAGGGCCAGAAGACAGCATGTCATTTTTAGATGTCAACTAGGGAACTGGCTTAGTACCTCTCCTCTTTCTTTCCTTTTTTTTGGGACATTTTTGATTATAACATCTGAAAGAAAAACCACAATGGTCCCTTTGTTGGAGATGAAAGTGTTTCCAGTGTTTTTAACTCTTAATGATTTCTCTGTGTTGTTTGCTTTTAGGAAGTGAAGAAGCATTTGAACCAGAAAACGGATAATTACATCAAACTTATTTATTTATTGTAAAGTAGAACAAAAGAATGAAAAAAAATTTTTTTACTTGTTATTTGCTGTTTTACCCACACACGAGTTATGTTCTGAAACCACTTTTAGTACTTTGAAAAAGATACTTGAGAACAGCACCCATATTTTAAAGACATACTCTGTATTCTGAGATAAGCCTCGTGACCTTTGATATGTGATTGATGTGTTTGGACTTGTTTTGTTTACCGTAGCACACAGAAATTATACTTTGCTGCCTAGCAGGCATTTTCATCTAAGAGCTACGTGAGTTCCTCTTCATATTGCTACTGGGTCCAGTTTCTGTTTATCGGGGAACATTTCCTCACATAAATCACCCGCTCTTTAAAAATAAATCCCAAAAAACATACCTTTTCTTCTATTTTGACTGTATGTGCATTAAACATATGGGATATAAATTTTAAAAATATACATTTTTGACTTTGTCTAATACATATTTTACAGAGCTAAGCTGGCTGCTAACCCTTGTTTTATAATACTGCTACTTAAACTAAATATATCAATTTCAGAATTAAGTATAGCAACTTTTAAGTCAATTCCTTGTCAGATATTATTATTAATCTTTTAATTTGTTTTGTGTACTTTTAGAAAGTTGAATAGAAAGAGCCAGAGATAAAAATTTAAGAGGTGCCACATAGTTGCCTATTCTCTAAGGCAGACCTGGCAGGCCTGCAGCAGCTCTAACAGTGGCCTTGCTGCCATTAATAATGGGAAAATGGCAAACACTGTACAAATCAACTGGCATGAATCTCTGTGCTTCTCTACAGCACAGTCTCTCTGAACCTATTGTGGAGCTAACATGGCTGCCAGCAATAAGACATGATGACATTTATCCTGCTTTCTTGCTGGAGGCCTCCCAGTAAGGAGTTCTTGTGAACACATCTTCCGAGTGACATGGAGACGGGCCTGCAGCCACCAGCGGAGCTGAGCCGCTTTAGAGCCCTGCTGAGACCTGCCAGGCCCACAGCTTTCCCTGCCAGGGGCCTCGCTCGAAGTCAAAGTGAGTTACAACCCATGCTCTTGACACATGCATGCTAATGCAGAAGCAAGCACCCACTATGTAGGCATGCAGGCGCACGCACAGGTGGAATACATAGAGGAATATATGTGTGCAACCATAAACCAGTACAGAGGCAAAGAAATAACACTGTACGTGCAAATATATGCACACTCATACATAATGATACCCCTCTAAAAGAGATTGTAGCTCCACTGGACCACTAGATAGACTACATTTACATACAATCACACACAATCATAAATTTGGTATTTGCAGCCTAAATAAATGATATCCCTGCTTCTACCCATGCAGTAAAGTGAGCATGTCGTCCAACAGGGGCTCTATCTGTCAGGGGTAGTTTGAGATCAAGGTCCAGCAGCTGCTGGATCAGCTGGATTGATCTGTCTGGGTAAACATGAGGACTGAAAAAGAGCATGTTTGTGATTAAAGGCTTAACAGGAAGTGCGTGTGACAGTGAGAGAGAGGGAGCTTCAGTATGCTGTTTATACCCTGTACAAAAGAGAGCACTGTGTATTACCTCCATATATATGTGTGTGTGTGTTATATTGTGCTTATATCCAGCTCCATTTTTAAAAAATGTTTGGATACTGCTGGAGTCAATTTATAGCAACATCATCCTTATATTATACTGGACATTACTGGTGCAGCCCCTTAGTTCATCCTCCTTTCTTCTGATTGGCTGCCCCTCGTTAATAGAAGTCAGTGGGCGGGCGTTCTGTGCTCACAAGCGTGTACTATGTACCATTAACTGGATTGCTGCCCCTGACTGAGCCTGGTTCTGACAGAGGTTTGTTCCTGTTAAATGGGAGTTTTTCCTTCCCACTGTTGCCAAGTGCTTGTTCAGTTTAATGTTTGAATATTGGGATTTTCTCTGTTTTCTGGCCTTTACTTTACAATACATCGTGCTTCGAGGCGACGTATGTAATTTGGCAAGTTAATTCACACAACTGAAGTGAATTAAGAAAACCTCTCAAGCCACTGTAACACATTTTTGACAGAAAATCAGGAAAATCATATTGGGGCTGGTTAATGTTTTTCATCGTGACTCACCTAAAAAGAGACAGTCTTCCAGGAAATGGTTACCAAAAATATTTTCCTAACCATAATCACGCAGTTTTGGTGCCTAAACATAACAAAACTGCAAAAGGGAAATTAAAAAACAACTTAAAGTTGTGACTCAACCTTTTCTGAGTTGTCACCAGATATCCAAAATTATACTGCGAATTACTGGAGACATCATCAACCCCCCCCCTGAGCAAATGAAGGAGAATTTACTTAAATGTGGTTGTAGCCACCTTAATTATCTTGCAAAGTGCCTTTAGATACAGAATAAATGTGTCAGTCCCTCTGCTCATTACAGCCAAAAGACCCTATTAAGCTCTCACATGAGGGCTGACCAACAGTTTCATGCTGGCTATATATGAATGTATCTCACAGCGATAATATATCGCGAGTGCATGTGTAGCTATATGGTTTGTGTCTAATCCCAGGAATGTTGATGTGGTCCAGAGTTTAATAAATGGAGGCGTGGGTGTGGAGTAAGAGTCCCCTGGAGCAGAGTTAAGGTCTTAATGTACTAAAAAGCCTTGACCCAGACCATATACACCCACTCACAGGGATACAGCACCTTCTCTCCAGTCCAGCACATTCTTTCATACTTTGGCTACGCAGCAAAGAAATATGCACTTAGACATACACGGAGATATGCAAGCACAACATGGACGATATGACCTTAAACAACAAACATGCGCAAAATGTACCGAGTGGCTCAAACACACACACACACACACACACACACACACACACACACACACACACACACACACACACACACAAACACATCCTTGTTGACTTGTGTTGGTCATCATTCAATGAGGAGCACATGACTTAAATCGGGTGTGGTGCATGACATCTTATCGAACAAAAGCGTCCCACAGAGAGAGCTGATGGGGGAGACGATCCCTCCCCGCTTGTCCTGTCTGTTGGGAGTCATGAGGTCTCCATCTCGTTTGCCACGCTGTGTCTCGTGGTTCAAAGTCCATAAAATGTTCAAGTTAAAAAAAAAAAAAATCCCCTGCTTTTAAAACTTTCAGCTGCGGTGCTGTGTTGTCAATAAATCAGCTGCTTTCCCTGAGGATAGCAACGTTATCTCCGGGAGGGAGAGGAAGTGCAAAACACTGCACGTTTTTCCAAGAATGAAGCCTTTGAATTTCTTGTTATGTCCTATAAATGTCTCACCTTGAGGGTCTGATGTCTCGCAGTGAGAATGGAGGGCTTGTATTCTACACATTCAACCCGTCGCTTCTACATGCTTCTGCAGTCATGCAGAAATAAACTCAAGTATGTTTATCACAGAAGCTTTATTGTGTTTTGTCTCATTTAAGTGTCTTGCTGATAAACTTGTCATTTAACTGTCAAAATCATGACGGCTACCTCCATGTCAGATCTTACAGGGAATATTTCTTCATTTTCTCAAATGCATTGTAGCTCTGAACTTTTCTAACATTAACCAGCGGAGCTGAATATTAGAATGTAAATATCTATATCAGTTGGACCAGACATTACCCAGGCAGCCTCCTTGTAGAAAGTAAAGTCCAAATGAGCACATGTGTGAAAGGTTCAGGTAATTCACAGAGTGAGTTTGCATCACGTCCCGCCTCCTGCGCAGACTATCCAGTCGCCACTCTTTGCCCAAACCTAAACTGCACAATGCATTTCAAGTGTCACTATGCATCTATCACATGTGAGAAAAGCCAACTCTGGACAATGTGCAGACCTGATTCTCTCAACATTACCTGGAATTTATGTGTAAAACTTGCTATAGTCTCATCCACCAAAGTTGCACGTCACCATTGAGTCACCAGCTTCAGTGATAAGATTGTTTATCAGAACAAATCTTTGCAACTGTTGCAACTGTTTTGGAGTCCTGTAAGTCCTGTTAATACAGGAGAAATAATGCGCGTTGCAATTGCTCAAGTGCTTCTGTGAGAGTTAAAATGGCTAAAAAATAAATAAATCAGAACTCCACAATGACAAGAGAAGTGAAAAGAGGATTCTCAAGCTTACTCCTGAACATTCCCCTTCTCTTTCTACCTAGCTGGAAAAAGCTTGAAAAGTGTGAGCAAACTGGTGAAATCAAGCTGAGCAGGAAGGGGTAAACAGGACATTTGTGTGCATGTGTCTGTATAATCCCATCACAAGATAGTGTCGTCGAGAGCCATTGCCCCGAGGCAGCTGGCCATAGTCCATCAAGGGAACTTTAAATTAGAGTAATGCTCACTAACACAAGGTTAGACAGTTCATCTGCTGGAGAGATATGAAAAGGGGGGATTGTCTGGTGCTGTGCTGATGGCCCAGAGAAAATAGAGTGAAGAAGTTTTGAATCCCAGGCCTATACGTGGACATGGCTATTTGTAGATTGAACTGAGGCAGATGCAGACAGGGTTGGAGAGACTGAGTCCTTTGATAATCGATAATGGCCTTGACAAATGTAAGACAATGCAATATAAAAAAAAGTGAAATAAAATAAAGTTTGTCAAATGATTTGTTCCTGGTTGAGTAAAATGCTGAATAAAGTTTGTTTAAAACTAAAACTGTCTTCTTGTCCTTGTGCACAGAATATTTACTGTATAACGTTTAATTTAAATGATCAACAGTGTTTGAACTTTTTTGTCCTCCAATCTTTAAAACAAGCCCACAAATGTATCAAATGTCCCGACGCAGCTGGGCACAGTTGCTTTTGGCAAACGATGCCCAAACAGGAGTGAACAGTGTGTTGCTTACGGACTACTTAAACCTGTGGAATAATACGAATTTGGTGCTCTGACACTGTACATGTGGGACCAATTAAAGATAAACTACAGTGAACTGCACTGAACATCGTCAACCTTACAAGTATAAAAATGCAAAAGGCGCATCTGAGGGAACACGTGTGCATTTTCACGTGCTGAATCCTTCCAATAAAGTTCAGATGCGTACAAGTATGATTCATTTGGCTGCTTCAAGTTCTCCATTTAAAAAAAATGGTTACAAAATATTGTCGTTTCCGTTTACGATGAGTAATCTGCTACGATTGAAAGTGCTGAAGAACTCGTGAATGGTTTACAGCATAAAACACATGAGCTTATTTAAAGCAGGAAGCTTATCCAAGAAAGCTTGCTATCAGGCTTCAACTGCTATGTAAAACTGGGTAGTTAGGCCTCCGTTGTCTATGCAAAGTGACAGCTAAAAAAACAGTCCCCTGAGCTCTGCGGGGAGAAGAGACGTGTAAATGATCTAAGTAATCTTGTTTAGATCAGCTTTTCTGAAGATATAACTGACAAGCGCACACAAACAGGAAAAATGAGTCAGACATTCCTTGCATATGAAATGCACTCTTCTCACAAATGTTATGATAAGCTATGGTAAATGCTGCTCTTTGCTGCACTTTCACTTTACAAAAAAAAGTTCTCCTTTTTATTCTGAGAAAGAGGAATGACACAAATGCTGCAGCCGGAGATGTTCTAAAATATACCCTCTTTAACTGCAGCACTATACAGTACCTTATCTGGTATGTGTTGATATCACTATTAGTCATGTGTAAAGAATCTGTGAGTGTTTGTGAGAGTTTTGTTTCCCTAGGCAAAGTTTGGCAAACCACAAAATTCCTTTAAATCTCCCCCAACTCCACCAAATTATTAACAGCTCCAAACACAGCATATTTAAAAATGCTTTGAAATTCGAGCTTGAATAAAAGAATGAGCTCGGAAATACAAGCAGAGCGTTGGCAGGATGAATTATCATTCTGATTTTGCAGAATTTTAATAAATTCTCTCTATATTTTTATTACAGCTAATATTTTTGAGCAATAATTCACTCTCATTTGTTTAATCTTCTCATGAGCTCTCATGCCTGAACTGAGCTTTGGGAAAACACCTATCTAATGAGTTCATAGGCAAAAGTGAGGAGGGAAAAAAGCCCTTTTTACCTGCCAGTGATCC